GGGGGGGGGGGGCACGATCGACACCAGTGCGTGCACATGTATGCGCACACCGATCCACCATGGGAACATCGATGTGTGTTCTCCTTCCTCCTCTTCCTTGTGCGGCCGCCGACCATTCTCCCCCATCCTCCTCCCTATTTTTATACAAACGGGGCGCGCCTCTCCCCCTCAGGCCATGCCGCCCTTTCGTCCTCCTTCCCCTCCCCTCTCCCCCGTACTTTTCCCTACAAAATACAATAATATCCAACGACACACACGCACGCGCGCATGCAAGGGCGAGCGACGGAAACACCCTTCCAGCGAGCTGCAAAAAAAAAAAAAGGCACGGGGCTGTGGAGGAGTTCGCGCGAAACGCGCCCAGCACGACCCGGAATCCCACACGATCCCGATCCCGTCGTCCCCCCCCCCCGCCCCCACACCGTTGGGTTTCCCTCCCTTTGGCGCGCGGAATGTCAGCTGAGCGGTCCATTGTGGGATCTCGTGATCCGACACGCCGGCGCTCCGTGGTCGTCCGTGGCTTGAGATCCCTCCCGGGGCCGGATCCCGGCGGGCGACATGCGCGGCCGTGTCGCCGGGGGTTTGCGCCTCGCGGGGGGGGGGGGAGGGCGGTACGCGCACGGCAAGAGGATTGTCCCTCCCCTCTTCAGGCAGCACCCCGGACTTGGGGGCTGCCCCGCGCAGCTCCTTGCGCCACAGCCATTTGTCTCTTTTGTATCGACTTTGTCGAGGGCGCGCCGCCGTGTATCAATGAGCGTCTAGCGACGATGCACGCCTGCCGACACCCACATTACCCCCCCCTTCCACCCCCTCTTGCACCTTGCGCCCGGAACGCCGCCTTCTGCACCGCCCTGGCGAGCCTCCCCGGCCCACCTCGCCTCCTTCTGTCCTCCCTCTCCGCTCGCCGTGCCCCCGCTCTTGCCTCTTGCTTCCTGTCGTTCGGCTCTTGGGTCGACGCTCCGGCGCGGCGCGGGAAACCTCTCGAGGGCTCCCGCGCTGCTTTCATCGCCCGGTCAGCGGAAAGCGATGTGGAAGCCACGGGTCAAGGGAGGGGGCGCGAGGGCGGATTTCATTTGGAGGATCGACGGAGCGCGGGGGGGCCGGCCTGGCTCCCCCCCATGGGTGTGCGTGCGTTAGTCGGCCCCGGGCCAGGGGAGAGGGCGGTAATTTTTGCACCGCCTCTCGGGCGGCCTCTTCCCTCCCCCTCGCGCCCTCCCTCCCCTCATCCATCCTGATTTGTCTCTCAACACTCGCACACATCTCTCGCCGAAAAAAGTAATTGAATTCATCGGGGGGGGGGGGGGGGCGGTCTTCTCTTCTTTTTTTATTTTATTTTCCCCGACCGAGAGGGAGCTACGGCAAGGATGTAGGTGGTCCGGCAGCAGGAGGGGCATCAACAGGCGAGTCATCGCCGGGAGACTCAGCTGGCGGTGGTGGTGCACTCGACTCGGGAGGGGCTTCCTGGGAGGAGAGCTTGACTGTGGCGCGGAAGAGTCGCATCCACGAGAATTCTAGGGCCTTGATGGCGGTAGATTGCGATCGAACCAGCCGCGCGCGCGACGTGTCCACCTGCTGTCCAGCAGCGGAGGTGCTGTCACTCGCCAGCCCGTCGTCTAGCAAGGCTTTCAAAAGGTCCAGATTGGCGTTGCTGCAAAGGGGCGGAAGGCTGATCAGAGAAGGTGCAGGAAACATGGTGGAGCTGGAGGGGAGGGGGGGGGGGGCAATATGGGCAGGAAGGTCGCTTCATCTATCCGTTCAGGACAATCACCGAGGTGTGCCGAGTGGCCGGCAACAGCGGCCGAAGGGAGAAACGGGAGGGGGGGGGGGGGGGAGGGGAGGACACCCACACCCACGCGCGCGACCCACATGCCGGTTCACCCGGGCGAGCCCAAAGTTGCCCACACAAGGCAGGGCAGGGCAGGCCCAGGGGGAGTGGTGCCGGAGGGGCACAGGGGGGAACCCCGACGCGCACGCCCCTCGCCAAGTCTCCCTGTCGCGTTGCCGGCCAGCCGCGGCGCATCATCCAACACACAAGGCACTGGACACTCTCAACAGGTAAAAGGGCATAATCATTTGCGACGAGGGCGGGAGCAATGCCAAGTAGCCGGAGGCCGAAGGGCAGATGGTCACACAGGAGAAGCGTACAGTTCCCGGACGGTGTGCATGGTGGCGCGAAGCTCAACCAAGATGGCCAGTTCCGCGGGGCTGACGGGCAAAATGTGCCACATGGAGGGTGCACGGTGCAAGTCAGCGACAAGAAGACCCGGCGAAGCCTCAAGGAATGATAGGGAGGTTGGAGTAGCAAGGAGGCAGAAGAGCCGAATGGAGGAAACCTTGACGGACCTCATTTGGTCGAATGGATGGTCTTGGGCTTGCTCGGTGGCAGGGGCGACCGGGCCCGGTTCCGCGGCGGCGGACAGAGCACTGCCCGAGGCCGGGGCCTCGCCCAGGTGCATGTGCCGATCGCCGAGGAACTCCATGGACCGGGTGGCGAAATGCAGGGGGAGGGGAAAGGGAAAGCCGGGGGCGGGCGGGGG